ACGAATTTGTTTATCTTCATTATTGTTTTGTTAATCGAATAAACCCTTCCCAGGGCAGAAAACAAGAAAGATGGATGTAAACGAATTAAGTTTTGTCTTCGGCAGACGATTCTTCCATTATTCGTCCGAAATGAATATTCTGCGTTCAGCAGTATAGGCTAAATACCAAATATTTGTATGTTGCATCTCTAATTTAGAAGCAGCAATTGTTTTTTATTTTTGAAAATTTAATTTTTTAATTATAATTTTACAGTGTTGAGCATAATCTTGTATGATTTTACAATTTAAAAACTCCTTGAAAAAGTTTTTTTGTAATAACAGACCCTACTTGCACAAATTCATAAATCCCCTGGTTGAAAGAATGTGAGTAATTTTTTCACAATTTCACGAAAAACAGACCTTTCGCAAAATGTCTGGACAGACCCTTGAAGATGTAATAGATTGGAAAATTGAAGTAATACTGGTCGTCCCGCATGAAAAAATATCATTCGAACATGCTCGATACCATGGATATTCAAGAATGTCTCATTTATTTGAGATGGGATTATGAAAATCATCCTGCTGGAGATCAGAAAGTGTTTTGGTTTGAGGACGATATGCTTGTCAAACAAATGAATGTTGAACCAACTTCTTCAATCAAGTAGAGGCTATGAAATACCAGATTCAAATAAGAAATTCTTTACGTCAAAGAATGTATACTACAGTTTGAATAAACAACAAGTATTTCAAATGGGCATTTTAGAGCACGTGACCCAGAAACAAGGTTAAGAGATGCTTAAACTCAATGCAGAAATTAAAACACTGAAACAAGAAATGAGAGATTCGAAGAATCAGACAATCCCAATACAATACGAGAATAAAACACTGAAATGTGAAATTTCAGCTCTAGAACAAGAAATGATAGACTGGAAGAAACACGCAACGGAGGCCGTAAGTTTAAATATCCTTGAAGTAAACGGTATGAATGCATCCTACAAAAATATTTTTCCTCCAAAAATCTTGTTCGATGACTTTGTTGATGATCAGGATTTTATTGTACCGAGGCTAACTTCCAGAACAATGGTCTATGAACTGCCATGTCAACACGTTTCGTTTCTTTGCAGAAAACTGGGTCCTTGTTCATTTGTTCCGAATCCATGAGGACAGTGTTGCTATAAAATCCATTGGGATACTTTAAAACGATTGGAAAAGCGTTGGTTTGAAATCCAGTAGAGCCAATCCAGTAATTCAGTAGCTTGAGATTTGTGATGCTCTGAAACCGTTGTGTTGCTCGCAGATATAAAGCATCTTGAGCTTGCAAACACAGGTTTTTTTTCTTTTATATCAACGGAGCAATTTCACTTGTTTTATTTATATATATTTTTCCAAAAATTGATCTGAAAAGAAGTGTGTATGATGCTTTCATAAGAGCAATTTTTCAATTTTCAGCTGTCCCGCTGTGGACTGATCGTTAAGACCTGGGTTGGCAAGGTTTAGGACAGAATGGATTAATCCACGGTTTAAACCGTCCTGTCCAAAACCCCTTTGTCCAAAACTGTCCAAAACCCTTTTACTCAAATTATGTCGCAATTTTATCTGAATAATATTTAAGAGGTAAAATAAACATAGAACTAATAACGTATTGATAATTAAATATACTGGAGAATATTTGTTTTTAAAAGTATGTTTTATTAATATTGTTTGACTCTTCAATTTAAACAAAGGAAGATTAATCAGTAATCAAGTTCAATTGGTCCTCTCATTCAATAGTACATAACTGAAGTTTGGTCTTGCTATACAGGTTAAAATATTAGGGACTAAGTGCTTGGTTCGTCATAAACAGGTTTATTTATCTATAGTACTATTCAATAATACTTTTATTTCATTCATGTTCAATTCTTTCAGCATAGTGGTGATACATCACCAGTGTCAGTAACTGAAACTGATGTTATGCCCTTCAAAACTGTTAATACATTTTTCAGTTATTTTGTATTTTCAATTTAAACTAATATATTTATATTTAAAAACAATTTTTTTTAAAA